AGCACGATACCTTTTTGATATCTTAACGGCCTTTTTTCAATGTCGGGATAGGTTAGGAAATTTGATGAGTAGGATAGTATATAGGATAGCCCACGCAATACAAATAAAATTATACAACAACCCTTCTATTGAGTGCCCTTTTTGTTGATTTACTATGTTGAGTGTTTCATGGTACAGCGAGCATCCCAGGAAATGGTTTGTGATGAGCTCAAAAAGAGTCGTTAGAGACATTAACAAGCAGGGCTATCCGTACCTTTCCCTAAACCAATGTTTGAACATCTTACAATCCAAAAACCTTTATTGACAGAGCGGTGGAGAGTATGGTAGCCCGTAAATTTTCTAGCATCAGTCTAAGGTACGATGTGATGCGCCAGTAGAGGATGTATGGCTAGCCTTTAAGGGGGCCGCATTGCGATGATCAACGAAATAATTCGTTGACTTAGTTAGAGCGCATGTCATATCACCCAACATTCGGTGATTTACAATGTCCAGTCATACAGATCATAGACCTCTAGCATATAGATGCTGCATTGCTCACACTGGCGTTTCTGGTTTCACAGGTATGCAGCATTTGGCCATGTCAACAGGCAAGCTCCAACTGCCAGGTAAGACATGGGATGGCCGAGTTACTATCAGTAAGTGGGTTTTCTTGCCTGTTCTCTCTTAGAGTCATTGACTCCCGATAAATACATGGCCTTATTAACGATGAGAACTCCATATAGGATGAAGGATAGACATTCTTATGCCTGAGACGACAAAATTTAAAGTGCTCTTCTGTCCGGGGTATTCCCATGAAGTTGAGTAAGGGATAATAGATAATCTTTTGAAAACTGGTGATCCCAATATTGTGAATATCTAGCTTGGTAATGACTATGACCACGAAAAACCTCTAGACGATTTGGTTGTGGAGAATAAGAATACAAACTCCGAGAGTACGGAGTACATAGGGCTACAGGGCTTTAATTATTAGGCTGACTAGGGTATGAACGTTGTTAAAATTAATTCTTCAAGATGTCCCTGCCAGGAAGCTTCCTAGGATTAGCTGGTATCAATGCTCCAGAGGGAGTTTGGAAAAAAAAAAAAGCACTGCATAGGCTTGCTTTCTCCGAATTTCAGCGCAAGTGCAAATGCTCCATGTCCCGTAAGTGACGGAGCCGTGAAGCTACATGTTTAGTATGGCCCACTGCCCACATCTCCAACGAGCGGCCCGATCATGGAATCCCAACGGTGAATGGAGTATGACTCCGTCCATCAACATCGCGATTTGATGTATGGATACTTACCTGGAGAAAATAGCGGAGTACCCCAGACAGACGTTGTTGCTTAGGTAAGGACCGGTGGAAATTGAGAGTGACCTGCGACATGCACACATGTCCATCCCCTCTAGCCCAAGCGAGCTGTTGTGCCCCTTCCCCCTTGCCTGGTGGTCAACCCACATCTGCCGGTGCAGAACGATGGGTCTCCCTGAAGTGTGGAGCCCATAGGGCATGGCGAGTGGATAGAAAACCACGCGGCTGCGGATAATATAATCCTGCTAGAGATATAATAGTGCTCTATAGCAGATAATAACTATGTCTCAGCCCTTTTTATTTTGATGATCCTGAAAATCAGCGAGGGTATCTTAGCTGCGCCCACCCACGTAAGGATTCAAGAATCGCGTCTCGGGAGCGACAAGCCGGTGGTGGGAATTAAAAACCCATGTGGTTTCTTTCATAGTTGGAATAACGAGGCAAAGTCACCCCCTGAGTCAGAGCCTGCAAATATGGTGAGCCACGGCATATGGCGTGATAATGGTGATGATAATTCATTTTCCCCTGCCACCCTTCGTCTCAGGATTAGCGGTGTGCGCGATGCCCGAAGTGAAGAAAGGAGAAAGACACTCCGTGTCTGAAATCGCGCTCGCGCTGCAAACGCCATGACATATGTCTTTGCCTCATCGCATAGGCCTTCTTTGTTGCGGGAAAAGGTCTAAATCGACGTCTTCTATCGGGCGACATCGCATGTTCATCATGAACTTGAAAAAAAAAAAAAAATAAGAGTAACTCCGCTCTGGCTGGGCTCCTTTGGGTAGTGGTGGCCGGCGGTGGTATGTGGTAGTGGCTGCAAAAATAAAAATAAGGTAATTACCACGCACTCGGAAAAAGGTCGACCTCCGAGTTACGCCGACGGCACACAGGGGTCACGGGAACACCATTTCAGGAAGGCGAAAAAGGAATAATAATCCCAGTATCAAGCAGATACATAAGGAAAAAAAAAGAAAAAGAGAAGATAAAAAAAAGTAGATAATATAGTAAGTACGCTTGGCTTGCGTAAATGGCGCAACTTTAACACAGGAGAGAAGGCCATCCCCGTTCGCTCAGCAGGCCGTTTGACGTTCTCTCTCGGGGCCGATGAGCGCAAGTTTAATGGAGATGTTGCCGCATGATTGGAGGATTTGGCTAGAGGGCAGGGAACGCATCCAAGAGGAAGAAACGCCCTACGATTCTGAAGCTCATCGTCATATCAAAAGGGTGAGACGTCCGAGATGTGAACCAAAAAAGCAAAGGGCACACCAAATTGGAAAGAAGGGTAAGAAATTCTAGAAGAACTGGAGCCAACCGGGCCTGTCAAGTCGGAAGTCAAAGTTTGCCGTTGGACGAATATCGTCTTCGCAGACGAGAAAGGGAAAGAGAATTAAGAAACTGGAGATCTTGGACCTCGGCCCACAGGAGAAATTCATGTGGAAAAGACGCCAAAACGCGCTGGTCGTCGAATAATTGCCCAAGGAAAATTTTTAAGGTCAGCCAGAGAGAATTCAAACCGGCCGAATCGTCGAAGTTCCCAGTCAGGAGGTGGGCACCTCTGAGTGGAATCTGGTGGAACCTGGGAAGCTTGTTTTTCTGTTTATTCAATTTCTCCCAGGCTATTTCATTCATTCGCGTCTTTCGTCGTCTGCGTCTTCGTCTTCTGGTCAAGAGAAAGCAAGGGGGAGGGCTGAAATGCATTACCGCGTTACCCCTTAACGGGAACTTATGCTGGGAGCCAAAACCCAGAGCCAGCCGGCGAATGTATCTTGGTTACCCCTTGGAGGTGATGATTATAGAAAGGAGACGCTGGGGCAGATCAGTTGATGAACATCGTTCCGTTCTCCGAACTGCCCATGCCCATGCTAGCCAGAGTGCGTGGTACCAGGGAGGGCCAGCGGAAGGCGGATCCGGCATGCTGAACCTCAAGCTCAAGAGGAGTCCTGGTGGATACGAGCTTCGAGCAATCAAGGCCATGCTAGGACGGATGAGGTAGTTATGACACGCAGCATGCATGCGCTTCCTTGCTGGCCGCTCGTATTGTCATTTTTATTTCAAATCCTTTTCGTCCTTGTGCTTTTTGAAGGGTGGGCTGGTTTGCCTCTAAGCCCATACAAGAGTTAAAACTGGAGATTCCGTTAGACGCCGCGACTTGGGTGGTGAACAAGGAAAATTCAATAAAGCAGGAAATGAGAACGTACAAAACAGTGAAGCATGCACTTTGTACAACCTCACACCGACATAGTGGCAATAAGAGTCAAGATTGGAGTGAAAGCATTAAGGGAAGATTTACCGAGAAAGCCCAGGTGTTGAAAAGAAAAAGAATAAAAAACAATAAAATAAGATTTCAGTTGGGGAGAAGCCACATCATCAACTCTCTTGAGATCTTGATCAATTTGATCGCCGACTAAACTGTCGTTTTTGGTTTTTCGAAAATCCGCTCAGACGAAATGACTGACTCAAGTATCGCCCAATCCACTAGTTGTTCAAGGTCGAAACGTCATTCGACCCTATCTTTTCGTCTCCTCCCTCTCCTTCTCAAGCCACAAGAAGCCATCGTTGTTGGGTGATGGCAGAAGAAGGGCATCATTGATTTTATTATCGTTTTATCAGCATCGTGCTGATCCATTAGTTAAAAAAAAAATAAAAAATAAAGGCTTCTTTTGTGTGGCAATAATCATTTATCTGTTGATTGAGAGACGAAGCATGGGCTATCTCCCAATCACGTGTACATTTAATGCATGTTGAAGCAGACTTCGCGAAAGCCTCTCGGAGCAAGGCCGAGCAGCATAAAGCAAGCAGAGAAGTGTTTCTGGAGATGTGAATATACGTCACCAGCAGCTCACCCTTGGAAAGGGGATGGGGGGAATGTCTCTTAGCAGTTTCGGCTGGATTTGCTAAAACCCCGGGCGTGTCAAGGGGAATTTCTCAGATTCTCATTCGCTCCTGGCCAACTCGATCGATTTTCCCTCGACCAGCAACATTGATAAGAAAGAAAAAGTCAAACTTGGGTTGGGTGGAATATGAACCCGACGCTTTGATCGTCTTGGGAAAAGAAGGTGAGCCAGGTATGAGAAAATTTAGGTTGGCTGGCGTTTAATATTCCCCGTCCAGAAAGTGCTTTTTGTTTTCGGAGATTGAGCGGAGCAACCTGATGGTTTGAAGCTTTTTTAGCCTGAAAAATTAATTAGACAACATGGCGCCCTTTGGCAGCACATCTCCCACGACCAGCTATAGGTATAGTCCTTATGCTGCTCTGAAGCCTGTGTTCGGACTGTCCGTAGTACCCCGAACTAGTACTAGGGGTAGTAGTTGGCGGGCTCTCTCGTCATTCCTTTTTCCCTTTCGCCTTTTCCCCAGCTCTTTCGTAGTAAGCCACATAGTGCTCGTGGCGCCACCACATGTAAGTGGTATGGAGAGCTCCCGACTTGAACCATGAGGAGGAGGCTTTGCAAACCATTGAGCCAGCCCTTGAAACTTCCGGCATCTTGTTTGGCTAGCCGAGGGGGCCACGCCTGTCATAATAGAGATTTCTTCAGCACATGATAGTCTTGGGTAGTAATACTATTATGTCTCTCCTGGATTGGCAGCACGTAGATCTGATATCGGCTTTCTCGCACGGGAGGTGGGAAAGGAAAGGAGCGAGCTTGCATGCTAGATTATGCCAGATAAGCACGGCTCATCATGATACAGCGGCAGGAGAACACCACATAAGTAAGGTCACGGAGTAACATCGGGTCGCCAGCTGCGCCATCTCATCACATCATCGTACATCGTGGTTAGTTATTCGCTGGCTGCTGGCTTTTTCAAACTTGATATGAGTTTTTGCAACCAGCCTGCGAAGACTGCCAAATCAGGAAAGTTCACCGAGGCATGCGGCCTAAACGAGTACTAGCGCTGTTTATGTAATCCCACCTTCAGAACGTCACGTCTTGGCAGCTTTTTCCGTGGGTGAATTTTCGGCTTTTTTTCGTTTCGAGACGCTCATATTTCCTCAGTTTTAATTATGATTTATTATCCTGATGAAAACTGGCGTAATCATTTAGTTGGTATCTGTGCTGGAAAACTCAGTCAAGAAGCTGCAGGGTGAAAGTGATGCTGAGAATGGAGGGCCGGAGAGACGGAAGTGATTCTTTTGGGCTTGCTTGTGTCCACCCCCTTTAAACGACAACCCCGGAATATCGTTCATCCAACGTATACGAGAGCGGGTGAAAGGAAGGGAAGGTGGACGAATGGGCGAATCTGTGAGCTGAGTGGTTCGGAATGCTATCACGATCTGAACTATCGATTTTCGCGAAGGGTGAGAAGAAGGAACCCATGAAGCATGCTGTCCCTTCGTTCTCGTATCTCCTTTTCGTTTCAGGTTGGGACAGAAATAGCAATCTGCAACTTTTCACGTCAAGCAGGACCATTAATCTATTTTGGCTTTATGGCAAATGTCACTCACAGGGTACTTACATATTTGGCATAGTTACTCTTTGGCTCGTCGTCGGTGTTAGGTGTTATTCGGTCGAGTAGTGTGTCGCTCAGTTCTTGACGGTCGGATGATGCTTCGTATTTTACGCTTCTGTTGATATCGAACCAGCTTGACTGCTTGGTGAGTTCGATGAGCACGTTCTTTAGGTTCCCGAGGCGCAGAGCCCACAGACGCACGTACAAGAAGTCGAACCCAAGAGGCGATTGCTTAAACCGCAGCTCCATCCTTCTTTTTTAGTCCACATCCTCCAGACTCCATCAGCATGTTCATCTTGTTTTGCAGGAAAGGTCCAAAAAGGACGACGACCGTTCATCCCGCTCTGTACATGTCGCAATAATGTACGTCTATGTACCCTCCCTCCACCCATCCACCAGCGTCTGTTTAAGCTTAAGATGGTTTCCGCAACGTTGGGAATCAGTGGGGATGCACCGAACGTTGTTTGCTGGGTACGGAGCACAGTGAGAGATATACAAAAAGATTCCGTATGTGTTGTAGGAGCCCATATGTCTATGGCAGCTGACCCTTGCTCTGAAAGAGATACCAACGACTTCTTATCGCTCTCGTTCACGAAGGGAGTTGGTAATTCCCAATTGAGCAAAGTTGAATGGATGGATGGATGCGTGCGTAGATGCCGACCTTGCTACCCGAATGGCTGTCCCGTTTCCTCGTTTCTGAGCAGGAACGAACTCAATTAATTCGCCTTGTGCCGTCTAACCGATGACGGAAAAATAGGATTGATAATGGGAGATATATCAATGGCGCCATTGCCATCTGAACTATCATGCTGCTGCAAGATCAGACAGCCTGGCAGAAAACCACGAATTCCTCTCTCAGGATCTTAGCAGGAAAGATGGAGTGGTTAGTGTGATTCGATGCTCCTTCCATGAGGCTTCTATGGCCGCCAGCTCTAGCAAGGGTCCGTGGTCTGTTCCATTGCTTTTTCCGGGTTTCCGCTTGTGGATAAGTAGTCTCTGCACCTAATAGTTGCTGTGCTGCGCTGCTTCACTTATCGACGCTTCATTCTATTGTTTGTTAGCACGGTTCCTATCATGTGTGAAGTCATATTTCAATTTTTTGGAGGGAATTTCTTTTCTTCCTTTCGTTCTTTCTTTCTTTTTTCCCCCCCATGGCTGTCTTTGGTTTCTTGCTTGTCTCTCTCTTTCTCTTTTTTGGTGACCCTGTTGTTGCATGTTCCTTATGGCCTGATCCTGGATGCATGAAATGGGGATGTGACTCCGTAGTTCTCCGCAAGGGAAGCGTTATCCGAACCAAACAGCCTGGAGCGTTAACCGCGTCTCTCTCCACCTATGACTTTCACCAATAAAGCTCCCGTCTATCTGCTTCTCCTCCCTCGACAACTCGATGACATACAAATAATTCCCCCGATTTGATCAATTGCTGAAGGTGATCTCCGAAGCTCTGCGGCCCTTGTATGCTGTGCAGGGCCATGTCCTGACCTAGTCATTCGGGCCATCAGTCAATATGTTTCGTTACAGCTGCCTCCCCAACTATCAGGGGTGGGCCAGAATAGTAATCATTCATGGCCACTCTCCTATTACATCGTAAGGATTGTTGTAATAACAACAATAATATTAAAAGCCCAGCAATACGGAGTACCTGTTTAATTAATTCCCATGGAGATCGCGGTTGGCTGCTCACCAGTCATCGAGGAGAGCACGTTCACGACAATACGATGGAAGGTAGCAATCGACCTTTCCACGGTACTCCGTATGTGATGGTGCAAGTCATATAATACCCCCCTCAGGGCGCCCCAAAATAGTCGTTCACTCTCGCAATCTCATGCAGGGTTCACATCAAATGCACGTTTCGGGGGTTTTGAAGAAGAAACGAGACCTTGAAAGACCACTTGTTCTGTAAGCTCCGAGATTAGCGCAGGTATGAAAAATGAATACTATGTCATCTTGACACAGACGGTCGAGCATGCAACACGCATACATTATTATTCCCCTAGTGACCACGCCCGGGCGAAAGGGTGTAAAGCCAAAAGGAGAAGAGCGAAGAAAGTGCTTCTCAACAATAATCGGGTATCAAAAACCAGAAAAAGAAATCAAAGAGCGAGTTTCTTGAGCAAGTCTCTGGAAACACGTAAGGAGAACCTGACAGCATAACTCGGCCATGTGGTGACTCGTGAGGGTGTGAGCTGTTTCTGGCGGTTGCAGGCAGCAATCCCATTCGCAGATCCAAGCCGGGGTCAAGGATCTCTGAGGTCGTTTCGTTTCTTCTTCCTCCTTATTTTCTTTTTCTTTTTTTCTTTTCTTCTCTTCTCTTTTCTTTTCTTTTTTTTTTTTTTTGACCTCTCGCAGGGGGGGCTCACCTTCTCCCCCCTTTGTTTTTTCCCCCTCTGCTTTGGGTTACAACGAGCTAGCTGTTGTTCGCCTTATCGGACAATCCGGGCGGTACATGACAGCACCTCCTTGTGCTCCTTGTGCTCCTTGCTCGTCATGTCTCTCTGTGTAGCTGGCAGTCGGAGGTTGCGCTGGGCGGCTGTCTGGAGCCTGGGCAGCTTCCCTCCCAGGCCCCCCGTTTCATCGTCGGATATGTCAGTCAGTCACTTGCTGGGTATGCCTCTGCTATCGTCATGCCTGCTGCTGCTGTTTATTATTGTCCGTGATATACTCCGTACGCGCAAAAAAAATAATAACAATAATAATAAACAAGATCACGATATCAAGACAAGGAGACGAGGTACTTAGGGCGGCACGGGTCTCACCGCTAAAACGGAAGTACCACTGCCGCCCACGCACCGCCGCTTTAAGCCCACGCCCGCCTCGGGACTTCTTCCGCCCTTTTTTATTTTTACTTTTTTTCTTCTTTTCTGCTGTTGTTATCTTCAACGCGTCGACTTTTCTTCACCTCCAACCCCGACTTCAGCTTCGTCTCTCTCGTCAACCCTCAGCAACTGCGGCCCGTCTGCGTGTCGTTCTCTCTCAGCATTAGACATCTCGCTGCCTGCTCTGCCGCTCGCTGTCTTACCGCGTTCACCAGTCGCAATTGCGGTGTTGTTTCGGCTCCAGCGCAGTTCTGCTTGCTCCAGTCCTCGACCAGGAACCCCCCTCCTCCACCACCTAAGACCCTCGGGAACTCGCTTCGTCCCCAGGGACCCAAGCCTCCGTTGACATCACGATCTTTGGCCATCTATTTTGCTGCCTTGGTAAGTCTATTTTTTTTTATATCTGTTTCCCTTTGTCGACCCGCACGCAGGAGATACAGAGAGAGATTGCTGCAAGCCACTTCCAACGGTTCGATGTATGTGGCGGATCCATAAGCTGCTGGCTCCCCTGTCGTTACCAGCAACCAGCAACCAGATTTCCTTGCCTTTCTGCCCTACAACCCCAGAAAACCAAAAGAGAAAGAGACGAAGCAGCCGAAGAGCGAGGACAGGATAGCAGCTTCGTGCCATACGTAACCTACCACCAACCATTCTTCTTCTTCCCTTGACCCCGATCTGTACCCTTTGCCACGCGCAAAAAAAGCAACACGCTCGAACCAGGGAACCTCTGCTTTCGGAGGCGTCTGGTATCGTCATGTTTTCGCCGTCCGGCCTTCGCCTCAGCCCTGACTATTACTATCCTTACAATCCCTCTCTTTTTCTCTCTCATCTCTTCTCTTTTACACCTAGGTCGACTCCCTCTCCCACGAGTGCCAGATATATAAAAGAAAAAAACTTATATATATCTCTGATATCTCTGGATGGAGGAAGACCCACCCTTGTCTGTCTGGTGGATACGGAGCATCATCTTTCCACGCTCTTGGGAAGTAATGTTAAAGGGAAAAAAAGGAAGAGGAGCAAAAAAGAGAGAAAAAGAAAAGAAAGAGAAAAAAAAGAGACTTGGAGAAGGCTAAAAAGGTCGTCCCAAGAAGTTATCCCGGAAGGGAAAAAAAAAAAAAAAGATGCTGATGCCCACCTATCCGGCATTCTTGCATCATCGTCGCTCTAACTTCTGCTTCTTCTCTTGCTCCTCTTAAATTTTTCTTCAAGCCTAAACTTACGACCTCTCCAGTTTTTTCCCTTTTGTTCCTGAACGCCCTTACTTACTTCTACCCCTCCTGGACCCTCTTCGTTGGTCTCCATTCCTGACTTTCTTCTTTCTTCGTTTCTTTTCATTCCTTCGAGAAAAGACCAAAACGTCCCTTGACCTTCTTACACACACTCACCTCTCGCTTTCCTCTCGTTTTCCGTTGTGGATACAGAACCACGCATCTGCAACAGGGCGCTCACCATCGATCTTCTTCATAGCTCTACTATCTCTCATCACGACCGAACCTCGACTTCTGTGACTACAACCCAATCCATCATTACTGTCCTTACAGGTTCGTCAAAGCTGAAGGAGTCGCTGAAGAATAGCAAGAATAAAAAAAAAAAAAAGGAAAGAAACAACGAAGAGCAATTCGGCTAACGCGCGCTTCAGGGGTCTCTTCATCTTCGGGATTTCCAATTCTGCCGGTCGATATTGACACCGCCTTTTCCTCTCTCGCGCTTAGAGGAGGAATCAATCAATGATTGCTGGGAGATAGCATAAAACCTGTTACTACTGCTTATAACGGCCATCGACCATCAGCCCACAGCCCATCCACGCTTGTCATGGATCAGAACATTCGAACGCAGGCTTCGCGGCCGGCGTCAGCCTCGATTCCTCCACAGGGGCCTCCGATATTGTCACATCTTCACCAGTATCAGGCTCACTCACCTTACCAGGTTCCGCAGCCGCACACACTCCCTCCTCTCCAACATCCCCAGTCTCACTCTCCAATGCCATCATATTTGGGGCAGCCATTTCGAAATGATATGCCCAGGTATCCTGTCACTTCTACTCATGACGTCTATGCAGCCTCCACCGCGCCAATGGCAACGCATGCTCCCGTGAACAGTCTACCACCGGCCTCGTTCTTGGGCCAGCACCAGCAGCCGCAGCAGCAGTTCCCTTCACATGGCCTCTTGCCACCAACAACTGGCGCCCAAGCCTATCCGCAGCCAATTGCACCTGCTCCGCCACGAGATAGACGGCATGAGTATGGTATGCCCGGTGCTCCTTTCACCGGAGCTGAGGATAAAGGCCCAATGTGGGCGGCACCCGATGCAATGTCCGCTTCAACCGCCGCGTATCCTCCCAAGGATGCACCACGAACTCAGGTTGTTGGCTCGCAAGGTCGACGAGGCATCCTTCCTAGCGTTCCAGGGCGTGCAGCTATCACCAATGGTGTAAACGGGACTGCCAAGGGAACCGCTATTCCAGCTAAGGATGCTGATGGCAAATTCCCTTGCCCACACTGCAACAAAACATATCTTCACGCAAAGCATCTAAAGCGACATCTGTTGCGCCGTAAGTTGATAAATTTAACCAGACTCTTCCCTTTTCATTCCCATTCTTGTTTTTTGTCACACTCTTTTACCTCCCGAGCAAGCGCGAGTACTTTTAAATTCTAACCTCATTTATAGACACTGGCGATCGCCCTTACATGTGTGTTCTCTGCAAAGACACGTTCTCTCGAAGCGATATCCTCAAGCGTCATTTCCAGAAATGTTCTCTCCGACGAGGCAATCCTACAGGAATCAGTCACTTGTCTCACCCTCACGCTCATCTCAAGAAAGCTCAGGCAGCGGGGGTTGTGCCTAAACCGGTGAATCAGGGTGATGTTAGTAACCCCATCTCACTTCCCAATGGTATTGGTGGTACTACGTTTGGGGAAGCGCCCGCGAGTGGGCATGGGGTTACAATGGCTCCTGGCCATCAACCCCGCTTCGCAGAACATCAGCCATTCAGTTATCCTATGCCTTCTCATGCGCCAGCGGTACAGAGTGGTAGTAGCGGTCTGGCCCGTGGCCCCTTGGACCAGATTACCGCCGGCACTACTACTGCCCAGTACCCTCCGCATCAGCAGCAGCATCAGAGAACCTGGATGGCTGATCCCAAACACAACTCTTCGTCGTTCCATATGCAGTCTGGAACTGACTCTGTTGGCCAGTCGACCAGTATTGCTCTTCCTCCGATCGATGCTAAGAATACTTCCGATAACAAACAGGCTCCTTCCCAACATCCACCACCACAGCACCCTCATCCTCAGCAGCCGCAGCAGAACATTGACTGGTCTGTCCTTCAATCGGGTTCGCATGAGAACTACATGCCCGGCCCGCCAGTCTACCCTACGTCCATGACACCAGTGAATGACGGAATGCATGCACATGTCGATGCTGATCGCAAGTACTATCCTGCCACCACTGCTGGACAGCAGGAAAATGGTGGTTTGAACGGTCTTTACCTTGCATCCACCAGCTTAAGCGGTGATGGTACGTACCGCTCCGTATACCCTCATCTACCAAACAAAATGACAATATGGAATTGCATGCTAACACAACATTAACAGGAACCGTTCAGCCTGCTAGACAATGACGGACGATTAAAGCGACTCCAAGCCTATCTCGATACCACTTTTTTACCTAGAGTTCTGTGACGGCCGAATTGTGAACGAGTTTCTCTTATTAATCCCTTACAATTTTTCGTTTCCCTTTGATCTCGACCTTCCTCCTTAATACATTCCGTCTCATACAGCCAATTAGTGGTCGAGCGCCCGTGCGGGGCACGGTCCGGATACTCGACAAGAAATCATACATCGCCATCAAAATTGAAGCAAATGGAAACCAGCATTATAGACTCGGGTGGAGCATTTATTTGTTTTTCTCTTTCTTACTCTCTCTTTTCCTCTCTGTGGGATATCTGCTTTGCAACGGTCTTTCCTTTTGCGATCTCGTCCAAGTAAGGAGTTTGTCGTTCATTCCTTTCCGTTTACTGCTTATCCTCTCCCTATTTTCGTTATTAACTGCTGCATACATCGGTGAGATCATTAGACGAGGACTTGTCCCCCTTTATAAACCCTTTTTATTGTTGTTGTTTTTATACACTTCCCCCTTTGGCTTATTTGTATTATTCCCCTATTTTCCTTCGTCTGGAAAATATGTCTTAATACGTGTTTTCTTCCCCTGATTTGTACTTTTTTCCCCCTTTCTTAGTTTCATTCCTTTCCTTTTGGAGAAAATCGGCGGGAGAGGGAGAAGAAAAAAAAAGCTCATTTCATCGGTGGAAAGCACTGTTTGGCATAGAAACGAAAGACTTTCCTTTCGTTTTGGGGATAATGCGAGTTGTTGTTTGTTTATTGTCTTGCTTTCATTCGCTCTTTACATACACGGTGGGCGGCTCGCGATCGATACATTACACTTGGGCTTTTTTTTGGTTCCTGGGGGAGAGAAAAAGAAAAGAAAAATCATCACTGTTATATCATAATTTGTTCAATTTATCCTCTTTCAAGACGCTCGTTGCTGGCTGGCCTGTTTGTCTGCAATGCTTTTCTTCCTTGCCTGGACTTGACCGTCTTGCCTGCTAAGCTTCCTTACTAATTGCACTCCTCGCGCTAAATGTTTTGTCCCTTGATAAACTGTTGGCAATAATGTTTGCTACATGCATGCTGCGTTCCATGATTATACCCTTGCCTGCGTGTGGTTTCCATACCCTGGGGCGATCCGACAATAGACGGCTATTTGATATCCAATATTTAGCGACACTTTCGGCCTTTGCCCAAATTTAATCGGCGCTAGACGGAATGATGGGGAGGGGGCGGAAGATGAATTTGAAATAGGTCCTGACATGCCTCGCACGTCATTTACATAAGGAAAGATTGTCAGCGAGCAGGTGGGCGGAGACACTTCCCACTGCAGCCACTTCGTACATATTTTTGCCTCTCCTGGTTGCGAATCTTCGATTATTTGCTCGTTTGCTTTTGCTTCCGGTCTTATGATGCAATGCGACTGCAGCTACGAAATTGTATGTCTTTCTTATCTGCTGTTTGCTCCTGCATCCTTGTTCAGCCATTCTTTGACACTAGGCTTTTGATGACTTCGAGAACTCAATTTGTAAGCCCTATTTACTGTATAGACTGTTTTGAATGAAAATGAATTAAACTATCTTCTCTCAGCCCTCTCTATACTCAATTATTGGCTATCTCTAACAATAATATCCTGCACACTTTGATAGTCACGATGACTAAGTACAACATACACGTGACTGAATGATTACTCATCACGCGAAACCGCCTACCATGGAAGAAAACGGAAAGTTAGAAAGATGAACCTCGATTCGATTGAATTGCTGTCTCTATCGACGTCGCAGACATTCCCTATCCATATAAAATGGTAAGTCGGTCAATTATGCTCTATTTAGCCTTACGATTCGCCCTAATCTTGAATCTGCTCTGCCGAACTGTTGGCTGTTGGACAATTCATACCCAGTCTCCCCCATCCACATCCTCTACCACTTTTTGGCAAAGCCAACTATCGAGTAATTTTCACCGATCCCGTCTCACTAACGCGATCAAACAGGCTTCCCAAGCACCTCGTTCTGGGCCATTCGGCTCCTACCGATCCCCATTTGCGCCTAAGTGAGTCGCCAGACGATAGCCATCAACCACAGAATCAAACACCCAGACGAAATAGCAGGACGGCTAATCCCCCCGATTCTATCGTATAGATACACCGTCCCAACCAAGATTGCTGGACTCACTACTACCCAGGTCATGAGATTGTAAGTCGAATGGCTCTCGATGTGACTGGAGACGCGCTACTGTCTTGAGGCAGGTGGTGGGAGAACAGAAGCGGCTGCGGCCATTGGACTTGGGTCCGCTAATATATCTACCCCCGATCTATAGGATGCCAATGGCAACTACCATGGGTGCCGCAACCGGCATCTTCGCCATCTTCTTCCTTGGAGATGTCCCACGTATCCGAGAAGATATTCTCATGAACATTCCTATCATTGGAAGCTACTGGGATAGATTGATTGCTCCCGAGGACAACGTATGTCTTTCCCCTGATTACCTGGCAGCTATCAATTTTCATTTTCACATTATTCTGGTTTGATTGCTGACAATTTAATGTTCCGATAGCCTTTCTAAGCGTCTGTGTCACGCGTGGTTGAGTGGAAGCTAGAGCTAGAGCTGGGGCAATTTTGTATATCTACAGTCTCTTAGTTTTAAAAGACAGGTCTTATTGATGTTGAGGTGTATAAAATTGTATTCCGTTGTTCATCTATTCCATGTTCACAATCATTCTCTAAAATGATAACTAATAAACGGCGAGCTATTGGCTGGTACTGACGTTGACGTTTCTATACTTGATTAGGCAGTAAACATACGCCTAGACATCTACAGTATGGAGATAAAACTGGTCATCGATACTTCGTTTAACAGTTTACATGCTATACTTTAGGCTGTCATATTAGTCGGTATCTTGCAGCGAGCAACGCAGGGCTCCGATACTGGTCACGTGCATGGGTGTCTCTGGAACCTTGAGCAAACAAACATATCAATTACTACATCAATTTGAAACCGACATTTACATCTCGGCGGTGACTTTTACTAATAGACTATGACCCTCTCGACCGTTATTTGCTTTACAACGTGTTGTATCCTACGTCCTGAGAGCATACAACTTAACTGGCTGCACCTCTTGTAGAGGGGCAGTATAGATCTTGAACCAAGTCATGGCTGCGGCCTCACAAACTATCAGGCAACAGATCTGGGAAGGCTGCCTGCCACTACAGATAAATCTGTCAAAGTCGGAATGCAGAGTATTTGACGAGGCGGATCCTTATATTGTGAATCATATATCCCACCTGATATACCCTCTGATAATGTTCCTTCACACTGACAATAATTATAGATATCATTCCCTCGTCTTTCATACCTACCCTTTCTATTACCTAGGCTACTCGACTTCTTCAAACCTTACCTTATTGGCTCTGATCCTGTATACCCATATCAAGGCTGGTTCTCATTTGAAGGGATTCCGCTGAAATGGCATTACCCCGTTGGTTTGCTATACGATCTATACGCCAGCACAGAGCCAGCACTAGAGCAAAGTGATGATAAGGATACAAGGTATCCATGTCGGAAAACCCTTCCTTGGAAACTAACGTTACACTTTCAAGACTGGCCTGATCAGGAACTTGTTGGCCTTGATGAGCAGGGGAGGGTGATGCATGACTTCTTTATGAATAGTGTCAAGGAGGCGGATTTTGTTCGCAACGGTACAGGGAAGAGCATTATGACACTTTCAAAAGAAGACTCAAATAAACTTTGGACGTCCATACAAGAACGTATGTGTACCACCTGCCTATTTCTGGTGTCTCAACATGATAAATCTCTAACACGTTCAAGACTCCTTTCAAACCTTTCACCGAGTTAATAATACACTCTTACCAAACATATCAACTCCATTCCGCAACATACCGCTGCGAATATATCTGCCCGTTGCACCAGGGTCTGAGAAGCCATCTATTAAGGTCGTTCAATCCCAATTTCCACCAAAAATCTCTACAGTGTCGGTGGGAACTGAGAAGCAAATTCAAACTATTGGAACCGCTCTTCATTCTGTAGCTCCTAGCTTGTTCCCAGACGATAAGGATACAAATATGGCTACACCGATATTACATGGAGCCGCAGTACCAATGAGTGCACCCCTGGAAGAAATGGCACGGTGTGCAGCATATGCTGATGGATGGCTAAATATTGTAGTCTGGATGCATGGATGAAATGACGCCCTGGGTTATGACTAGACGCCATATGATTATTTAGAGCTGTTAGCCTAGGAAATTGATAGATAGTGACGTCATAAAAATTCAACGAAGGGTATATAGTTACAAACTTGAGCATTTTATGCTGAGAAAATGAGGCTGAAGAGATGAAGGATCAAATTCTATACCGCACCCAAGAATGCCCGCCAATAATGTTTTTACAATGATAGTTCGTTAATGTAAAACACAAAGATAAAAATCACCAGGAACGTACAACGCCCAAGCTTCATAAAAAGAACGAAAACTGGTTCACGGCAGTGGAAACGAAATTAGGCTGTCAACTTTGGTTGAATCAAGGCCAAGGTGTTCTGTACTTCCCCGGCTTCATGTCAAAGGCTTAGTTGGTCAACGCTGCCCACACGCATTCCACCTCCTAGCCTACCACCACCCTTGGTCACCATTCCGAGTTGATATAGTCGTTCCTCTCCACTTGTTGTTCGACCCCCAATATACCACTTCTCCGGTCCAAGAGCATCCCTAAACCCTCCGCTACCACTACTGCTGTCGCTTCCCCGTCTATTCCTATCATATGACGAAAATGGGACTGCAGAGGTTGAAGATGAAGGTGTTGGAACTGGTATCGGAGAGGTCGTGGAATTGGAAACTGTGGATGTCTGGGCAGCTGCCGAGGAGCTAGTATGGCTGGTAGAGCTTATTGGGGCGCGGGATGAAGGAGATGGAGTATGCGAATGAGTATGGGCATGAGCATGGGTATGATGATGATGGGAGTGGTGATGGGAGGAGAAGTGGTTTGATGTTGACGATGCGGCGGCAGCGGCAGCAATAGAGTTGGTGTTTGACTGTTGTGGATTCGAAGGAGCTGGATTTGCCGTAGCTTTGCTTCCTATTGTGCGAGCTCCGGCGGTATTTGAAGAGGCGGATGGCGGAGCGTACGAAGAACCGATATGTGATGACGACGGGCCCGGGGAAGGGGGTTTTGAAGGCGCTGTTTTATATGCGGTTTGCGCCCTGAAGGCAGCGAGAAAGTTGGCTAAAAAAGGCCTGTTGGTCGTCATGGCTGCGAACACGCGTGTACAACTATCTTCGGCCTGATATTGACAACCGAGTTGTTCTATTGGCGATGCTGTATTCAGTCACTCTTCTCGTGTGGCGTATGTGATATAAAATTTTCTGTAGTGAGTTGCTGGATCACAAGGAAAAAGAGAGCAAAGTTCGTCGCGCCTAGCTCATGCATGTACCACAATCCAAAAGGCGCCTACAGCACTTTGATCTGCTTGTCGATATTGGATTGTAGGCTGGCCTGTCCCGCAGCAAAGAGCATCGGTCATGGATGTTGTGATAGTGATGACGATGGATGATGCTGAACTTGTGGGGTGACTTTTCCAGCGGAAGATCTCGGAAAACCAACCGCGGCTGGGCTGTTAGTAATCCGACGCCACACTCAGCGACCTGCACCGCCACATTTGTCACGTGAATAGTGGACGACGAGCCATGCGGCCTGCACTCACGTTAAGTCTGCTTCATGGATGATTCGAAGACGTCTACCACTCTGACGAGGGCTGTCTTGGTGCTGGCCGGCTAGTTTACGACTAGAGATACCTCTTGCTTAGGCATTGTTTGGACTTCTATTGTATCTTAGAATGACTACTAGTGGTTCACTTTCACCTGCTCAGGGGAAGCCGTTGATACCATGGTTTATACCCAATTATATCCACCGGATCACCAAACATTTGCCAACAATACTCCCGAAGCCTTAACAGTGGAAACTATGTAGTGTGAATACACGCAATCTGGTTCCTGGATAACAGATGCCTCGTGGCTACAGCAACCCTGGTTCAACCGGGTTCTGTATTGCTTAGGACCGTGGATTAGCTCATGCTAAAAATAGCTTAAATCGACCGTACGAATATACTGGATTGCTGGGACAGGTGCAGACTACTTCCGTTTAGTTAGGAACAGAAGTTTATTCGCTTCCCCGAAATGGCCTGGGTTACGTACATATGATAAAAGAAAAAGATAAAATAGGTAATTTTTCATCACAGGCAAATGGCTTGTTTTAAAGTTTCACTTGAGAGAAAATGATAAATGGGATATCATGATGATCAAGGCTTAACCACGCAACAATCCTGGAACTCATGAGTATGCTGGGCGCAATAAGGGGAATAAAAATAGTTGGTAATATCGAAGCGGAGGGTTGATACAGAGCCCATTGGTATATATCTCGTAAAAATCAAATCACACCACTCAAGTCTATCTTCCACCCCTCAAATTTTCTCCCACCGGAAACCAGTTTTGAGAACACGAGTGACAGTCATGAACACACCACAAAGGAAAATAAGCGCCCCGGAAAAGAGTAAGGTCAAGGTAAAGTTCCAATCCCTAGGGTCCATGGAATGCGCATTGCCGTCCTGCTTGGATAAAATGCCGCCGGCGATAGGAGTGCCGAGCAATGCGCCAAAGGAACCAAGGATAAGGGCAGCCCGGCCCTGGCTACATCTTGGGCTGGTGTCGACAGTTATGGATGCCATGGCTGTGAATAGGAGTACTAGCTGATAACCAGCTACCAGGGCATAGAATAATGATCCTATAATGACTCCCACTGGATCTACCGCGAGTATTAGAGAAATAAAGACAATCCCGCAGATGTTTGTAAAAAAGACGGCCGTGTTCAGATTTCCAAGCCTATTTACATTAGTGAATACATCACGTACTTAGATATGCACTTACTGATACTTACCTTGAAGCTAAAACAGTTAGGCTGAAGCCTCCTATCAAAGCTGCCATATTCATTGCACTAACAAAGTAGCTGGCCAGCTCAGTCCTCAGCCCCAGCGAAAGGCCATATACTGGGATGTAGAAGAATGGGACAAAGCCACCAACGAGTCCTAGAATGGCTCCAACCACAAAGGTACAGTAACTGGCATCTTTGCACCCATCAAGTCTAATGAATGGTCCTCTTTTTTGAGGAATTGAAGGATGATATGGTTGGAGAGTATATAGAGTCGAGCCCGAAGCCAAGAGCACAAGGGATGTGATTATCCGCACTGCCCATGGAAAGCCGACAGCAACAATAAGCCAATAGCTTACTATTGGGAAAACAATACCACCTAAGTTCAAAGTTAACATTGTTGTTTAGTGGAGTTATATATTCCGAAGGGCAGAATTCACACACCTATAGCCGCCCCAGAAGTGGCGACTGCAATAGCCAACGGACGTTTTGTTGAAAAGTAGGAGGCCACAATGGCAATCCCAGGAGCAAATAGCAAGCCAGACCCAATACCTACACACACTCCTTCAGACAGGAAAAACTGGTAGTACTTGGTGCTAATGGAGGTCATGACAAGCCCTAGAAGTTGTACTATCAATCCAGCCCCTGTAACATGATGGAAGTGACTAGAGCCGACAGCCTTGCTGGAGAAAATTCCAACAAAGAAGATAAAAAATGCTTGAACCGAGCCAATCCATGAAAGGGCTGATTGCGATGTAGTAGGCAGGACAGTTTGAGAATAGCTTGCTTGGAAAGCTCCATGAGCCATTACAAGACCCCTGGATAACAAGAATCAGCTAATTGTTTTCAGACAATGAAATAGTCTAGTTATACAGGAAAAAGTTGCCTTACCATGTATTTTGTGTAAGAACACAGGCACCCATGACCTGCATCCAGGCATGGCGTCCTCCATTGGGAGGAGTACCCGAAATCGCTTCTAAGCTTCCCTCACGATCCTCGAAGGATACTGTTGACTCATGCACCTGGGCTTGACCATTCTTCAGAATCTTGGACGCTTCTTCGAGCTTCATAACTGTGTTGATGTGCTGTGAGTGGGATAAAGGAATGGTTGGGGTATCTTTTCCTTCTCAGTAGAGTATGAAGATTGATAATTTCGGTTCTGGATATATAATTGTCTTCTATAATATATAGATAAAAATGGTAGAGAGATCTGAGCAAGGGAATT